TTTTTTTCATTTTACATCCCCCCCTCCCCCCACTGTTGAATAGCAGGGACCTGAGCTGCAGAGCCTGTCCACCTCCCGCTCCATACAATATTGAACTGAACTGCACCACACATTCAGTAAAGTTGACCACATCATTGCTTTGTATATTGTTTCCTGAAGTATATTGAGAAATGTAATAAAATATGCCTCTCCGGGGTAATGTTCTTGAGTTTTTAATGGTTCCGAAGCATCTGTTTGTTTCCTGCAGCTCATGTTTGGAGTGTTTTTCAATGGCACCATTACAGCACTTTATACATGGAACAACACATATCTGCTGCCCCCTGCTGGTGGCTTATAGTTACTGTACAGCTGCCTGATGGTGAGCTCTTCACTAGTAAATATTGTTTGATGTGGATTTTTAACATGCAAAATCCACTTTTTTAGCCTTTAAATACGTTTTGTTGAGAAAAGTTTAATTTAGTCTTAGTGGTGCTGCAAAGATATGTTAGTCACTTTTTTCAACCCATTCAGTTTTTTTTTCTTTGTTGTACGATGATTTCTGAACTATCACATCAGCATTTRCGATAGAACTGCCAAATGTCTGAGCTTACCGACTAGTTTGGTAGTCTTCATCTTTCTCTTGCTCTGTCTCCTCTTGTCACATCTTTTAATTCAATTGTAAATAAGTTTCTGTGCAGCTATACAATGGTAAAACCTATCAAACTGGAACAGACTGATCTGGAAGCTGGAGGGGGCGGGGTGTGAAGCACCTCATTTAGATTTAAAGCGACTAATGAGTTGATCTGAGACACGCCTCAGAAAAGGGATAAAAGATAGTCTTGTGGAGTTACGGGAATGCAGATGGATGTCTATTTTAAATGGCTCATTAACAATGTTAATTGCAGACAGCTAAAGTCAGCATTTGGGATTTGCGACCTGTCCAGGACATACTCTGCCCCTCAGTAAMTACCTGGAAAAGAAGTGGGTAAAAAAGTGAATGGATGGAAGCTGAAAAGTTTGAGAACCTTTGAGTGGAGATTGTGAAAAAAAATTGTTTTTACTACATTAAAGTAAACGTGCTTTTAAGTTCTCCTTTTTCACATTTAAATCCAGTGGTGGACACAGTTCCCCTAMAGCAGTGTTTCCCAAAGTTGGGGTGGGGTCCTGAAAAGATTTTCTGA